TTTGAAAACTGAAATCCTAATTAGCCATGCTATCTACTATAGATAGAGAAGATGAAAATCCTGAAGATTTAATGGGGAACATTAGGACAAAGGTGAGAAGAGATATTTCCAGAAAGGAAAGGGTGAATGGGAACTGGGAATAATGAATAATTTATTTTAGAAGTGCTGAATAAGACAAAGCAAAAATTAAGGAATTATTGGGTGAAGAAAATATTGTGGATATACATGAACATCATTTTAGATGTCACTTTCCATTATCATGGAAAACGAAAGAATATCACCCTAGGCATTTAAATTAACTAACAAGCGCTACACATTCAATCTATGCCAGTGACTTTTAAGGATGTTACATTTTAATCCTCAAAACAACTCTAAAAATAGGTATCATCACCCCATTTTAAATGACACATCATGCTGTGAGATAATGTTTTGCACAAGATTTATAGATCCATTAAGCCAAAGATCCAAGATTGAAGTTTAGGTCCTCCAAGCCAAGTACTTTCCAATAAGACATAGTGCTTCTCTTTAGCAGCTGCTAACGGGACATAGGAGAAAGAGGACTGGGACATAGTAGGTTTCCAGAGACAGAGGGCTATGCACTGTACTATACAGACCAACAGATGGTTAGAGCGTAAAGAAGATGAGCTGGATGAATTGATCCTAGCAGTGAGCTCAGTTCACTGGAGTTCCCAGCAACAAAGAAGTGTTCTTTGTTTCCACACAGAAATGAAAATGAGAAAACCCGGCATAATTCTCAACACCACATAAGAAATGAAAAAGAAGCCTTGCTCTAACTTGAGCACTATTGCTTATTATCAGCAACTTTGGGGCTGCTACTTATTTGGACAAGCACTGGAGATCTAGCACCAGGGATGCCTGATACCATGAAGAATATGTTGTTTCATAAACAGGAGGGGAAACCAGCTGAAGCAGGAGCAGGACACAATGGTACGTTTGGTTTCCTTCTGAGGGGAATGAGGCACAGCCTGTTTCAAGAGGTTCCTTAGGTTAAAATCAGGAAGTCTCAGTGAGTTATTGTGCTTTACAAATGTCTACTCTTTTCTCTTGGTAAATATAGGAAGAAGGGTGAATCCTTCATGATGCAATTACTCATGCAGTTTGCTTTCCTTCTACAGGTGATCCCTGAAGATGAGCATCAATCTAAGGACAGACCCTTTGGAGACAGACTGACAAAAAACAGCCAGAAAAGAAACTGAAACTTCTCCTCTTTGGTAGAAATAAAGGAGCCGAGGTAATAGTTCTCATTAATATCCTACACACTCGTCATGTTGAGTCTCTCCTCTGCTTTATCTTTTTACTGTGTGATATATTTGGGTCCCTCATAAAGTACATCCTATCTACACAGCCCACCTGGACATTCTAACTGGTGACCTCTAGAAACTTATTCCAAGTATTGGAACTGTTTCAGTGTCTCTGCTCAGGGTGCGTATATTTGTGAAGTGATTGCTTGAAATCAAAACACTGTCTTAAGTCAGTCTGTGTAATAAATCAATAAAAATTTCTCTCGAATATCCATTAACTATTCTTACCCGTTCTTGGGTTTTAATGAAAACTGAGGACAGAATTCCTTAAATTTTTGCACGGTTTCCTTAAAAGGACTACTTTAAAATACTTCTGATTTTTTATTGTTATTTTAATTCTGGTGTAGTTAACATAGTGTTCTATTAGTTTCAGAGGTGCAAAATAGTGAGGCAACAATTTTCTACATTACTCAGTGCTCATGATAGTAAGTTTACTCTTTTATTCCCATCGCCTATGTCACCTACCCCTCCACCTACCTCCCTTCTGATGACCATCAGTGTGTTCTCTATAGTTAAGAGTTTATATCTTGGTTTTTTCCTTTTATTTTCCTTTGCTCATTTGTTTCATTGCTTAAATTCCACATATGAGTAAGATCATATGGTATTTGCCTTTCTCCGACTTATTTCACTTAGCACTATACTCTATAGCTCTATCCACGTTGTTGCAAATGGCAAGATTTCATTCTTTTTTGACTGAATAATACTCCATTGTGTTCTTTATCCATTCATCTATCAGTGAACACTAGGGGTCTTCCACAATTTGGCTATTGTAAATAATGTTTCAGTAAACATAGGAGGGCTATGTTCAGTTTGCTAGTATATTGTTGAAGATGTTTAAAATACTTCTGACTTTCACAGTCATAAAATATATATTCTCCATGTCTTGAAAATTTGGACAATGAGGGAAAATTGGGGGAAATGAAGAAAAATAAAAATATTAATAATGCTTCCAAATGCATTTCAGAGAAAACTAGTTAATATTTTGCTGTGGTTCTTTTTCAGCCACATATATACAAATTGTAATCATTTATATCGCTATGAAACTTCCCATTTTAATGTAACATTATACCATGAGTATTTTCCTTTCCCTTTACTCCTCTCCAAAATTACAATTTTTATTGGCTATATAACATATGAAGGTATGTCATCTCACAAATATAGAATGACCCACGATCAACACAAACCAGACTTCAGCAACCTAAAAGAAAAAAAAAATTGCTGCAACTGTTCAAATCCTGATCGAACTTGAAACATGGAAGGGCATGCAAAAAATATCAATAAATAAATATCATTTATTTCTCTTACTATTTCTACTTGGTGGATCGATCATTCAGGAAAAAAATAAGTTTAATAATAATAGTACTAGTGCTGGGCACCTGGGTGGCTCATGGGTTAAGCCTCTGCCTTCAGCTCAGGTCATGATCTCAGGGTCCTGGGATCGAGCCCCACATCGGGCACTCTGCTCAGCGGGGAGCCTACTTCCCCACCCCTGCCTGCCTCTCTGCCTACTTGTGATCTCTCTGTCAAATAAATAAATAAAATCTTTAAAAAAAATAATAATAATAGTGCTAATATCAATCTTTGATGCCGTTTACAAATACACTCCAGAGTTTTACCATTTTGAGTTATGTGGCCCAATGATTTGATAGAGATGATCTTTACTATATTAATTATGTATCATCCCATATCTAGATTTCTAGGGGATTTTACTATGAATGAGTATGATATTTTATCAAATGCTTTCTGGCATCTTATTAGATGAACATGTGTTTTGGTTTTTTGTCTATTTGTTTAGTGTATTATATTGATAGACTTTCAAATATTAATTTGGACTTTCATTAATTACGAAATAAATTATAGCACTTTAGTATACAGTTTGGATGTACTTTATGATTCTTATATATATGCATGAGTAATATTGATCATAGTTTTCTTCTATCCTTGACAATTTGGAATAAATAACAGGCTATTTTAGCTTAATAAAATGGTTTTGTAAAATTTTCTATACTTTTTCCACATTGAAACATGTCATATAGCACACTTTTTCTTGAAAAAAGAAACAATTTTTAACAATTTTAAACAATATTTTAAGCTTAGAATAAGCTTAAAATAACTCTCATAAATACTCTGCATCCAGCTCCATTTTGAAAAACAAGTTTTCATGATGGGATCTCTATTATCTACATATATAAGACAGAGTTTGAGCTGTATAGATGAATAGACAAAGGATTCTATGAGAGACATTAAGTACAGAGTGCTGTGACAGTGCTTATAAGGGACATCCTCCTCACAACAGGGGTTGAGATTGTTTTCCTAGAAAAGGTGGTGTCTAAGTTAGGTGTCTAAGTCCTTCTAGCTTAAGAAAGCAACATGTACAAATATATATGGAAAAGGGGTGCTTGGGTGGCTCCGTTGGTTAAGCGTCTGCCTTCAGCTCAGGTCATGATCCCAGGGTCCTGGGATTGAGTCTGTAGTTGGGATTCCTGCTCAGCGGGGAGCCTGCTTCTCCCTCTTCCTCTACCCCTCCCCCTGCTCATGCTATCCCTCACGTGCTCTCTCTCAAATAAATAAACTCTTTAAATTTAAAAAAAAAATGCATATGGAAGAGTGTAGTATTATGGAGAGACTCAAAGAAATAGCATGGCCTCTGCAGGGCATTTAGGGTGTTAGCGGTACCTCCAAACTTCTACAGTAGAAGAATCAAGGGGTAACAATGTGGTTAGTTGAGGAGCTGGAGGACTTTTCTTGAAATTGTTTTACACAGGAAGCGCACTGTTTTACATGGATTATATTTTCCTATTAAGATGTTTTTTGTGCTGTTGCTGATGAAGATCATGAGGAAACAAAACCTCCCTTGATACTACCAAAGGAGAAGAAATGGCAAAAGTGAAAGCAAAGGTAACTGAAGTTGAATAGGCCCACATGATAGGCTGATTTGGTGTTTCTGGTAAACTTATTGTTTCAATTTTCTCTTGTTTTGACCTACATTCTGAGAAGTGGCTTCCCTCATCTGGGACCTTTTTTGAACAGCGAAAGTCACACCTCCTTCATCTTTGTGTGTATATATCTGTATTAAATATATACATATTTAATACTACTATGTTATATGATTATATATTATATATATGCCATGTTGGAACCATCTACTGTTGTAGGTGTCTAACAGATTTTATCTAAGTTGATTCTAATGACAACTTGACAAATAATTATTGCTTTTTCCAAGTCAGCCATGAGCTGAGACCCTGAAAAAATAAACAGTTTACTAAAGTTATATCCAGGTTAAATGACAGGTGCTTGATCTACATAATCTTTTAAATAGAGACCAGTTTCATCAGGAAACACCTTTAATTTAAAATTCTCCATTAATAATGACATCCCCAATATCTACATTTGAAAGCAGTTTGTCTTAAATTTTATTTGGCACTTCCCAGTAGGACTTTTGGAGTATTAATAGCCTTGACACTGTTTCTGTTAGGCCTCAGATGTGTTGGATTTCTCCAAAGCCTTACTACCATCCATCGTCAATAAAATAAATACCATATCCCTCCTCCTTTGATTCCTAGGAGTGTTTCAAGATGAATCAAATAAAATATTGGAAGAGAAGGTGTACTAAAAATCTACATTATAAACTTAAATTTCCCTGAGTCTTGTCCTTTCCTAAACACTGAAAGTGAAATGGAACACATGAAGATGGGGAATTACTCACCTGTGACTGAATTCATTCTGGTGGGACTTTCCAAATACCCAGAGCTCCAGCTTTTTCTGTTCATGCTCTGCCTCATCATGTATGTGATAATTCTGCTGGGAAATAGCCTCCTCATTATCATCAGCATACTGGATTCTCGCCTTCACACCCCCATGTACTTCTTCCTTGGGAACCTCTCGTTCCTGGACATCTGTTATACATCATCATCCATTCCTCCAATGCTCATCATATTTAGGTCCAAGACAAAATCCATCTCCTTTATTGGCTGTGCTTTCCAGATGGTTGTCTCCCTTGGGTTGGGCTGCACTGAGTGTGTCCTCTTGGCTGTGATGGCCTATGATCGGTATGTGGCCATCTGCAACCCACTGAGGTACCCCATCATCATGAACAAAGTACTTTATGTGCATATGGCTGCATGGTCATGGATCATAGGCCATCTGATCTCCCTATTGCAAACAGTCATGACAATGATAATGCCGTTCTGTGGGAATAATGTCATCAACCATCTTACCTGTGAGTTACTGGCTGTTCTCAAACTCATCTGCTCAGATATAACCACCAATATGATAATCATGACAATGATAAGTATTGTTATATTGGTGATTCCCCTACTGTTAATTTTCATCTCCTATGTTTTTATCCTCTCTTCCATCCTGAGAATTAATTCTGCTGAGGGGAGAAAGAAAGCTTTTTCTATCTGTTCAGCCCACCTCACTGTGGTTATCTTATTCTATGGTTCAGCCCTTTTTACGTACATGAAGCCCAAGTCAAAGGACACAAACACTTCTGATGAGATCATCGGGCTATTTTATGGAGTGGTAGCCCCAATGTTAAACCCCATCATCTATAGTTTGAGGAATAAAGAAGTGAAAGAAGCCATGATAAAAGTTTTGAAGAGACACCGGCATTTATTGAAATCATGAAATGCTTTAAGACATGTGATATCCTAAATGGTGAAATGGATCTTGTCTTTTTTTTTTAATTCAATTAATTAACATATAATGTATTATTGGTTTCAGAGGTAGAGGTCAGTGATTTATCCGTCTTATATAATACCCAGTTCTCATTACATCACATGCCCTCCTTAATGTCCATCACGCACTTACCTCGTCCCCTCACCCCTCTAACCTCAGCAACCCTCAATTTGTTTCCTATGATTAATAGGTTTTTATAGTTTGTCTCACTCACTTAGTCTTGTTTCATTTTCTCCTATCTTCCCCTATGATTCTGTTTTGTTTCTTAAATACCATATGATAATTATCTTTCTCTGACTGACATTCACTTAGCATTATACCCTCTAGTTCCAGCCATGTCATTGCAATTGGCAAGATTTCATTTTTGATGGCTGAGTGTTGTGTGTGTGTGTTTGTGTGTGTATCTTCATTACCATTCATCTGTTGATGGACTTCAGGGCTTTTTCCATAGTTTGGCTATTGCGGACATTGCTGCTATAAATACTGGAGTGCCGGGTCCCTTCAGGTCACTACATTTACTTTGGGGTAAATATCTAGTAGTGCAATTGCTGGGTTGTAGGGTAGCTCTATTTTTAATTTTTTGAGGAACATCCACACTGTTTTTCAGAGTAGCTGCACCAGTTTGATTCCCACCAACAATGTAAAAGGGTTCCCCTTTATCCACATCCTCGTCAACATCTTTTGTTTCCTGACTTGTTAATTTTATCCATCCTGACTGGTATGAGGTGGTATTTCATTTCATTTTCCTGATGCCAAAAGATGTTGAGCATTTTTTCATGTGTCTGTTGGCCGTTTGTATGTCTTCTTTGGAGAAATGTCTGTTCATGTCTTCTGCCCATTTCTTGAATGGAATATTTATTCCTTAGGTGTTGAGTTTGTTAAGTTCTTAACAGATTTTTAGATACTAGCCCTTTATCTAATATGTCATTTGCAAATATTTTCTCCCATTCTGTCAGTTGTCTTTTGGTTTCAGTGACTATTTCCTTTACTGTGCAAAAGGTTTTTACCTTGATGAAGTCCCAATAGTTTATTTTTGCCTTTGCTTCCCTTGCTTTTGGAGACATGTTGAGAAAGAAGTTGCTGCAGCCAAGGTCACAGAGGTTGCTACCTGTATCCTCTAGGGTTCTGATGGATTCCTGGCTCACATTTAGGTCTTTAAGGCATTTTGAGTCTGTTTTTGTGTGTGGTGTAAGCAAACAAAATGAAATAGGATTTTTACATTTGCCAAGCTGATCCTTAAATTCATGGAAGAGTAGAGAGCTAATAATAGCCAAAACTATGGTGTAGAAAAAGAAACGCAGACTCAATATACCAGACATCAAGAATGATCATAAAGAGTGTGGTACTGGTTCAGGTAAAAACAAGTCTATCAAAGGAACAAAGCAGAGAATCCAGAAATGCCTTGACTATGTATGGAAGTTAATATATAACACAAGTGAAGTGGTATTTGATATAAATTAGCATTATTAATCAGGAGAAAATGGATGAACTATTAAATAAACCATGTCTGGATATTGAACCTATTATACTGAAAAATATTAAAACTCTACCCCACACTGTGCCCAAAATAAATTTGAGGCAAATTTAAATATCTAAATTTAAAAAAACAAAATCCAAAACTATAAAACATCCAGAGAAAAATAAACCACATGCTCTATATAGTTGAAAAAGAACTGATTGTTCCACTTTTAAAATTATGTGTTACATCCCCTTATTTCTTGGTGTAATTATTCTAGATGAGCTAAAGTCTTCTTGCTAAAGTGAGTGTTCTCTAAAGTCTATACATTTGTGGAGGTGCTGGAAGAAAATAAATGTAGAGAGAATTAAAATACTAAAACCTGACTTTTTTACTCAAAAAGAATAGACAGAGAAGGATGCTCTGTTTCCACTCCTCCAATATTGTCATTACCTTCAAAAAGCTAAAAAGAAAAAAAAAAGTGGAAAATTGCCAAGAATCGAACAGGAAACAATTTCATTTCTACTTGTTTCATGTACTCCCCCTCCCTTGTGTACTTATGTAAAAAGCTATGATATTCATTAAAAATGTCTAATAAAATAACATTTATTTATACATATTTATTTTAAATAGCAAGTTACAAAACAGGAAATGCATTGTGCTCTCAAGTTTTTACTATATGTAGTACTTGCATAAAAACAATCAAAATACCAAGTTATATCTGAAATTGTGGGTGACTTTCATTTTATCCATTAGGCTTTTCTTTATTTCCCAAATTTTCCACAATAAATAGGTATCATTTCTATAATCAGGGGGAAAAATGAACTCAAAGAAAGAAAATTGCTTTTGAATAAGTAACATACAATTTAGGTCTTTGGACATTATCTCGAATGTATCTTAAAGTTATTATCTTCAGCAAGGTTTAAGAGTTCAACTCTAAATCACTTCTGGGATTAGAGAGTCTCTTAGAAGAAAACAAAGGAGTATTTAAATTGGCTACCAGAGCCACTGGTGTGCCTTCTGGAATGTTTAGGGCCTAGAGGTTAGAGTACTTATGTGACAGCTTGACTTATTATTGATACAAATTTAGAACATGAATCTCTACGGAGAATGAAAGCTTTATTTTTGATCTGCCCCCTTACCACTACTAGAAGTCAACTGGAACTGTGGGATATTTGCCTGTGGATTCTAGTAAAATGACTATAGCTCTTGGAGAAGATAGTTAAGATTCTAACGAATCTAAGTAGGAATAGCAGCAGTAACTTCTATATGTAGGCAGAAAAAGTTAGTGAATCACTGGAGAAAAGGAATGCTGAACAGAGGGATCCATGCTTGTGTCTAAAATGGCTTCTTTGTTTTGAAGACTGTAGTCCCAATAAACTATGCTATCTATTGTGAATGGAGAATTGAGGATCCTACGCTGATGCATAAATGAGGTAGACTTTAGCAGAGTTGGGAAGAGGCTTTTTTCAGAAAGGAGAGAAGATAAGGCAGTTAGGAATTCTGAATCATTTATTTTACTTGAAAAGTTTTTAATAAAACAGTGAAAATCTTGGGAAAGAGGTATTGGTGGGTGAAGGAAATATCTTGGTTAGTTATGAACATCACTTTAAATTAGTTGTTTTTCTTTACCATGGAAAATAATAAATGGTAGCCTGGGAGTTTATATTAAACTAATACATATTGTGCACTCCCACTGTACCAAGATCTTCCAAACACGTCATGTTAATTCTCACAATGATTCTACAAAATAAATACTGTCACCTCATTTTTACATCATGCTCATGTTAAGTGTGTTGCTTAGGATTTGTACAACTATTCAGCCACAGAGCCAAGACTGAACTCTAGGTCCCCTGACTCTTAAGACAACTGTTCTTTTCTATTCAAATACAATTTACTTGCATTAAGAACAAAAGCATAAGAGGACTTGGAGCACAGCAGCCCTAGAAATTAGTATATAGCATATTCTAATCAATCCCAGAATTGACTCTACAGGTCAGACAAAAGCTTCTATAAGATAAGAACTTAAAGCTTCAGCTTTAGCTTAAAGCTTCAGCTTTAAGTTTCAGCAAGCAACAAAGAATTGCATTTGGTAACCACACAGCAATGTTAGTTAAAAAACAAAAACAAAAACAAAACAGAACAAAAACCTCAGGATAATTCTCAAGATCATACTGAAAAAGAAGAGGACCTATTTCTAACTCACCCAGTATTGCTTATTATCAACACCTTTTGAAGCTCCCAGAGGGTCATTTACTTGGACAAGCATTTAGGATATCCTGCCAGAGACGTTGTATTATATAGAACACGAGTACTTTATAAACAGTAGGAAAAACTGGATACAGGATATAGAATGCAATACTTAGTACTAAAAATTTCTTCTGAAGGAAATCTTCCATAGTGTGCTACACTCTGCTCCGAAAAGTTCCCTGGGTTAAAATCCAGGAGCATGGGTGAGTACCTATGCTTTACAAACAAACTACTACCCCTCTTCTGTTGGTAAACAGGGGGAGAAGAGTGAATGCTTCGTAATCCACAGTCCTCAAGCAGAGTTTCCTTTCTTTTCATAGTTGAAGCCCAAAGGTGAGAGGACGGATCTAATGACCAGGCCTTTGGAAAGAGATGAACAAAACCTGGAGAACAAGAAACTGAATGCTACCCTTTATGGCAGAAAGAAAAAGCCTAGGTAACAGAAATGCCTGATGTTTTCCCACGTTCCTTCCTACCTACCAGGTATCTCTCTTTTTCTAGTGTACCACTAAGCTTGGTCACATTCTAAATGGTGAGTTCTAGAATCCTTTTGCAACACTTGAGTCAATATGTCTGCTGATGGTGGATATATGTGTGAGATTGACTGAACTTGGAACATTAGTGGCATTAAATTAGTCTATGTAATATAAAGCAACATAAAGCCCCTCCTCAATTTCCTGTCCATATCTTATTTCCTACTTGAGTTTTAAAGAAACTGCGGCAGAACCTCTGGATATCTTAGCCACTATCTCCTTCTAAGAAAAATTTGAAAATATTATTTCTGATATTTATAACCATAAAATACAGGTTAAGTAAGAATTATTTGGAAAAGATAAAGAAAATTATTAGTGCCCCAAATCCCATAATCCAGAAGAAACTGCAATTAAAATTTTGGAGTAGTTTCTATACAAATATGTGTATATATGTGTGTGAACATTTATATTAGTTGTAACCATTTATAATATTTATATTAAGAAACTTGTTTTTCTTCATGTAATATCATGAGCACTGTCTCTTATCTTTAACTCTTCTCTAAGCCTACAACTTGTACTGTTGATAATACATATGACATTATGTCTTCTCATGTGTATACCATAACCATGACATGCCAGAATGTTAACATCCTAGAGGAAAAAAATTATGGCACCTATTAAAGCATAACTGAACTTGACATATGATATTATATGCAATGTCATTTATTTTGTTTTTCTATTCTATTGTTGGATGTTTTAGGGGTAAATGTTAAGTAATAATAATAATGCATCTTCGAATGACTTTTAGGG